ATGCCAATCAGATACAAGAGCTCACTGAGTGCTTAGTGAGCAGTCAGCAGTTGTGCTTTTGGATGCACCTAATGAGAACCACTCTTTTTCATTACGCCATCTCTATTTCATTCCCTAAGTAATGAATAAACAAAAAGGTAATTATTTAGAATAGCTACTTCATCTTCGATTTTAAGGAAATTAGGCATTCACTCAAAACGAAAGAATCTAGCAGAAAAACGCAGCGATCGGCTTCGTGAATCGAATTATTAATCTTCTGAGGACTGACATGTTTTTGATCGACGTTTTTTATTTTAAGGCCTAGAGCTTTTTTGTCATTGTCATGGGATTGAGTGACAAAAAAGATGGTGTCACTGTCGAGTCCTTAAAGCCGACTGCTAACTCTGACCGCTGACTAATAATGAACCAATCACATTGAATCAATCTTATTGTGATTAGCCCATTATTGGTCAGAGTTGGCAGTCGGGTTGGCTTGCAGAGTCGGTAGTCTGAAACGGGCTTAAAAGGGCCTCCGGTCCTTCAAAGATTAAGCGTTAAAGTTTGAGACTTTAGAGGTTAAGATATCTGTTATCCCGACTCAATATAGTGCTATGTATATGTTCTTCCTTAATTACACAAATTCATTGTCTTAAAAACACATTCACTGCTTTAAAAACACAAATTCACTGGCTTTAAAAATAAAAATTCACTATTTTAAACACAGAAATTCTTTGCATTAGCAATGATATCAGGCTAAAACATGCCATGTAGTCGGCATTTATTATCAGAACACAAAACAAGATATAATACTGTTTGACAAAACGACTACAATAGCCAACGTTATATTATACTTTCCAAGAAAGTATAGAGAAGTCACAGAGATATACAAACACCCTAATAATCTAAATAGAGATAATAGCTACAACATAAATAAAATATGGATTCTCTCGGACTATTCTCCCGGTTATTGAAGACCCAATTTCCCCCACCTCTTCCTCTCCTAGAATCTGTGCCAAGTTCTTTTAAAAGATTTGTGCTTCCTAAATCACATGTTATAGCAACGACAGTATAGCAATTACAGTATAATTCCGCAATTACGTCCAGAATTATATTTTTTTCATGTCTTGATCAAATTGATAATACACTGATTATTTTCATTTCATAAATAAATAAACCTCTAGCAACAATAACCTGACATCTCTCATGTGGGCCAATCGCTCTTTCTTTTCTCTTTTCAAATTCAAGTTGCTCCATAATATGTATTTCATCAAAATATAACAGTTGTTCTTTCTGTTTCCAACATACAAGTAGTTTGAACTTTTTATTATAGTCATAACATTTTTAAAAATACTCTCGGTCAAATTAAAAGCTGTTATCCATTTTCTTAGTGTTGATATTCCAGGAAGAGGAACGTTTTGGGCGTTTCTTAAATAAACATAAACCTTTGGTTTTAAATAAACTAAACTTATACTGCGTAAGGATATTGCAGCTGCTATGTCTTCCAAAGACCAATGCGTCTTTTTTTGTGATGAATTAAGGAGCATTTTGATTTGGCCTAGAGTGAATATACAGTAGATATCCAATATATCTTGTATATTTTTCTGTATATAATCTTTTTCTTTCCGTTTATATTGAGCAAGTTTGCGCTGTAGAGTTTGAATAAATGATTCTACAATACTTTTGCATATTTTCTTAATTCTTTTATTTCAGCTTTATTTGTTTATTTATTAATATTGCCAATATTTATTTATTTATTTATTTATTATGTACATTATTATTATTTGTTTATTATTTATGTTTTGTAATTTATTAAATTGTTATTATTTATGTTATTTATTCATTTTTATTTATTAATATTTAATAATAAATTTTATGATGTAATTTGCTTACCTAAATTTAAGGAATGTGGCCTGAAGCTGGAACTTCCATCTGCTTATCAGACTGTGTTGTATACATCATAGTATCGTGTATTATTGTAGATTCATAATGAGCTGAGAGAACGAATAAATTATTAAATTATATTGTATATATATTCGGCAGATATATATATGGTAGTTAATAAAAAATTATATAGAATAATAATACATTTTTTTAATGAAGAAGTTTATACTTGTATACCTTTGCTGATTAATGATTCTAAATTCAGCGTGGGTACTGCATCGGGTTTTAATTTTCTTTTCTGAGTCGATGAATATCCTAAAAGAGAAAACAATAAATCATAGATATCATATAAATATAGGCATAAATCAATAGGCTCTAAAGAAAATTCTAAAAAATAATAACCAAAATGCCAATTTGAGCCGACACTGGTTATTAGTGTGTATTTTAATATCATTTATTCAAAGTGAATATTAAACATATACGTTTCGACCTACGGTCAAGGTCTTCTTCAATACAAAAGATATATTAACAAAATTACATATTAGTAGCGCATACGAGTATAAACTAATAACATGAAAAGCAAGAAAAAACGTGGTCGTAATGTCTGAGTTAATCTTGGTCATTAAATTACTAAGTTAACTAAAAAGAAAAATATTTTTTGTTTTAAAAACGACCGACCCAAGAGGTTAAAAATAATAAAAAAATGCTAACATAAGATTATACACGAAAAATGGTAAAAAAAAAACTTACATGACTATCAAGATTGAACTGTTTTTATAAGGTTTGTTGCATATGTTCCATTAAACTGTTCCATTTACTGTGTAATACAAATATGAATAAATTAAAAAGTTAATATAAATAACAAAGTAAAAATCCAATTTTAGTTCACTTACATGAAACAAAATTTTAAGATATTAGACACGACATAACTATTTAGTAGACAGATGTAAAATGAAAAGTAAGAGAAACAGAACTTACAAATAAGTAAAAATATAAATAATAAATAACAAAGTAGAAACGATATAGATTGGAAGCATTACGTCTCTGAAAATAGATCAATATATAACGGATCAAGAGAAAGTGTATCGTTTTGTAAATTCAGGCCTTATTTTTGTTTTGTGTGACATCACTGTTTTATGTAAGATATGTTGATGACATTGTTTAGCTATTGACAATGCTCATATTGATGAGATTCTTATTAAATTCAATTCTTACCACCTACAACTACAATTTACAATGGAAATTGGTAGAGCCTCATTAAATTTCTTGGATATTTGCTTGATAAAAAAAGAGGAGACTCTTATTTTTTATTGGTATCGTAAATCTACATTTTCGGATCGTTTTCTTAATTATTTCTCATGGCAACCTGTCTGTTAAAAAATTGGCACGATTATTTGATCGATAGAGTTTTATTAATTTACTTTCTCATTCGAGTTTATAAAAAGAATTTTGACTTAATCATCAAAAATCCTTCTGAATAATGGTTATCCTCTAAGTTTGATATTTTCAACTATTAAAAAAAGACTTTATAAAAAATTTGATCTTTTTAATCGTGCTGATGATTTTATTATTGATAAACAATTGACAAAGAAGAGATCAATAATAAAAAAATTTTCTGTATACCATTTATTCCTAATATTTCCACAAAAATCAGTATGCTCTTAAAAAATATACCATTTTTACGTATGGCTTATAGAGGCATAAATAAGCTCAATAGATTTATCAAAGTTCAGAAGAATGTGCTATCTCAATCTTCTCAATCCAATGTAGTATATAAGATTGACTATAAAGCCTGTGATGCATCGTATGTTGGACAGACAAGCAGATGCCTAAAAACGCGCATAAGTAAACATAGGAATCATATTAATAGAAACACGATCCAACATTCGGTTATCACACAACATCGGATGGACGTATTTCATGAATTTGATTGGGATAACGTACATATTTTAGACGCAAAGAGCAAATTTTATATAAAAGATTGTTGTCAGAGATGATACATATTAAAAAACAAAAACAATGAATTTACAAAACGATACACTTTCTCTTGATCCGTTATATATTGATTATATATTGATATTTTCAGAAACGTAATGCTTCCAATCTATATCGTTTATACTTTGTTATTTATTATTTATATTTTTACTTACTGTCTTTGTAAGTACATGTTCTGTTGTTCACTGTTTCTCTTATTTTTCATTTTACATTTGCCTACCAAACAGTTATAATACATTCCTATATGAATAAAAATAACATTATTAAAACATAACATTATTAATGAATAATGAACATTAACAAATAGCGATTAATAATTAACATTAATTAATAAATCTCAATCTTGATTGAAGGCTCCAAGAATAAATCGTAGGAAGATAGAAAGTCAATAGGAACCAGCATAGGTTGTTGGTGTGTAAGAATACCATATATTCAGAAATAAAATAAAAATTACAGATGTTTTGATTCTTATTATTGGGTCATCTTTAATGTAGATTTGTAAAAATTCAATTGTGAAAATTAAAACATGTAATGATCGCTTACTATTTCATCAATAGATAAAATATAAAAGTTGTCTGTCGTATTTAACTGAATACTCAACATTACATGTTTTAATTTTCACAATTGAATTTTTTCAAACCTACATTAAAGATGACCCAATAATAAGGGTTGAAACATCTGTAATTTTTATTTCATTTTTGAATATATTTTGAATATTCTTACACATCAACAACCTGTGTTAGCTCACATTGACTTTCTACCTTTCCACGAATAATTAATAATTAACCTTAACATTAATTAATTTATTTTATTTTATGTACTATAAATTTTAATCATTTATTATTACATATTTTATACATACCATTTTTTAACATTGACATTGTTTGTTCCACAAGCTTCTTGCTATTTTAATATCAATATTTAATCCTTCGAAAATCGAAAAAAATACAAATTTCTGTATCCTTTTTTTATGAAACTATTTGTGCACGTTTTTATTTAACATGTATTTTTGCGAAATGTCACTTTGTGTGTCACTTCAAAGTTACCGCGATGCAAATGTTTAAAATGGCCGCCTGGTTATGCGCAGAACGATACGAAATTCGTCTCGAAAACGAGCACACCTAATATACTTCCATCATGATTACGTCACATTTACGTGCAATATGGCCGCAAATCACGGCCTGTCACCTTAGAACATGTCTATATGCTCTAAGTCTGTCACTAAGCAGCGAGTACGTAAAAGTAGTAGGGTTATCACATCATAAATATAATCATACTTTAAAAATAAGGTGGGTAGTGAAAGGCTATAAAAACTATTTTAAGAAAACGAAAAATCTCATTCGAAATTGTGAAATATTTTTCATTTCCAAAAGACGAAGCTTTGCATGAAGTGACGTGAAGTTTGTACAAATCAAGATATCTCCGTTACCAAAGGTAAGAAAATAATATACAATCAAATCGGTGTTAGCAATGGCAAATTTAGTATCTTTGAGATGTGCAAAAAATTGCTCTTTCCCGTCATTGTACTTTGTATATTCTTAATATATAAAGTATAAGAAAATGATAATAAATTTTGTTTCTTAATTTATTTATGAATAGTTTCATGCTCATTGTTGCTTCTTATTGTATTTTAAAGTTTAAACAATAAATTGCCTCGAAAAGCATAATTTTTAATAATAAGAAAAATAATTTTATATAATCGAATGTGTTGCACAGATTTATAGGTTATAAAGTTATGTAAAAGTTAATTTCGACGAATTGCACGTATGAATGTGCATTACCCCTTTTTCTTAATAGGAATAAAAATTGGAAAATATTTAATAATCTGATGGATAACTTAAATATACATTATTTTATTTAGGATGAACCATCATGTTTTAAAACATCTTTTCGATTGCAACTGCCGGCGATACTCTTTGAAAAGTTCATAAGCCGAACAATAATGCACTTATTTATGCACTTATAATGCATTTATTTAATGATTTGCATGTGAAAAATACACAATGGCTTAATCACTTTGATGAAGGAGGGATTACATCATTGATGCATTTAAAGTAATGACATGTGCTAATCGATAATACCAATATACCTGGAGAAGTGTTAAATGTCTCTACACATCAATGTTATACCACAAGAAGTAATGCATTCATCTGTAGTTGTAGCGAATATGTCAATGGATTGTGTCAGTACAGTTATTCAAAAAGTGTCGAATATTCCAATGCATATGAAAATTACATCGGAAAAAATGATTCCTTCATGTACAGTTATAGAAAATGTGCCAATGAATTTTGTCGATGTGTTTAAAAAAATATCAACTGCGTCAACATATATCAATGTCGCATCAAAAGAAATTATAGATGCATTAAAGAATATTATGAATGTATGTAATATAGACAATACTTTACATGTGACACCAAGTGCATCATCTGTAACAAATCTCCATAGCTCCAATAAAGGTGTTGACTCCATGTAAGTAATACTTTATCTAGATCACCCTAATGTTCAAACATGAATATAATTATGAAATTTTACTCGTGTTTTTAAATTTTGTTATCTACAGATTCTTTAAAAAAAAAAACGAAATCATAATAATTATTATAAAAGAGGAATGATTATTAAAGAACAATAATATATTGTCATTTTAGAGTTTGAAATAGACCTTATATAAATAAATAAATATAAAAATATATATTA